AAAGCAAAATGTTTACGATCGTTAAGACGTATTATGTATATTAATTAAACTATTAAAATATATTTTCAAAATTTATTGGAAATATTATTTATTTTTAATGCATTTTCAGTATGGAATGAGGCCCTTACTAATGGCAGCATGGCATGGACATAGAAATGCTGTACAATTACTAATAAATGCTGGTGCTAACTCAAATGCTACTAACAAGGTATTAAATTATTCAAACAGAAACTTCTTTTATGTATACAATAAAAATTATTTCAATTATTGGAATAGCTTGACATTTTGTCCTAGTCCAAAATAACAAAGATTCTTTCTTCCTGACAAGTCAGTTTATTAAATATTCATCATAAACACCCTTCAGTTTTACACGAAAACGTTTTTAAAAGTCAATTAATTTTGATTACATCGTATCTTCAAAGAAAATAAAACTAGAAAATAGACAACAAAAATACATTATATTTCAGTTTCGTAAAAAAAGCATTTCTTTTGTGGTAAATGTCTAAAGTAATTTAAACTGAAATAAAAGAAAAACAGATGAATGATTTATGTGAGTTGAGATTAGGTTTGTTGTTTTTAGAAAAATTACACGTTACTAATATGCGCTGCTAAAAATAATAAACTCGAAATTGTAAATTATCTTTTGGACACATTGGAAGATATTCGGGTAGATTGTGGAGATGTTGAGGGTCAAACAGCATTACATCATGCAGCTGTTGGAGGCCATTTAGAAGTTGTCAAGAAACTTTTAGATGTTGGGGCCACTGTGGACAAACGGAACAAGGTAGTTCATTTCATACCAAAAGACCGCGTTAGATCCTTATGGAAAATGACCCTCGGGTAGACTTTTTGGAACTTTGGAGTATGGTAGTTCTCGATATGTTGATCAAAAGTCTCAATTGACGCTATGATCCCTTGAAGTTAATTACATTCTTCCTTAAGGATTTCCAATTATACCTGTTGTATGTATTGAATACGTTCAAGGATACACATAGGCATATGTTTTGTTGTATTATATCTAAGTGTATTGCATATTATGGATATGTTATGGTTTCGGACGACGGAGTGTGGTATATCTCACCGTAATAGTGTACGTAAAAAAGTTAGTGGAGTAATCAGACACCAAAAGAAAACATAAAATTCATATATGAACCAACTAAGGGTTCGTTACAACTACAATTTTAGTTTTCATGCGTCACATATGCTATAGATTTTGTGTTGGTGTAGTGTAGAGTACACCTTTGAGTACACCAACTTTCCCCACAAGTACACTATGACGTTGAGGTGTACTACACTTTTGCAGCGTGCATTAGTACTATTCCTGGTTTGAAACCATAACACATCCGTAACATGCAATGCACATAAGTATAGACAATACATCAACGTATCAATTACGTATAATAAAAATAATTGTACCCTAGAAGTCCTTACAGAAGAATGCAAGAACTACCAGAATCTACAAGGATCTAGCAGGGCTGTTTCATACCAAAAAAATAATAATAACACTTTTTAATATTTACCTAGAAAATAAACACATTTAAAGAACGAAAATTGGTACAGTAAAAGTTTCTTATTCACGGTTTCCTTATTCGCGTGTTCATTACTCGCGGGTGAAAAAATTGCAATCCAGTTCCTGCATTCGCGGTTAAAACATTCATTATTAGCGGTTGCAATCGGTAAACAGAAAAGGATTCGATGTCATTTATTAAGGGGATTGACCGCAGTAGACCGCTCGTGCCTAGTGTGAATTTTTCCGAAAACGGGTTTCTATTCTAAACATTGTGATTTAACGCTATGTGATAAATATCTAATTTTTTGTATGGTAACAGACAAAGGTTCACACTAGCTCGGTATGTTTTTGGTTTTCATTAAAATGGTCACTAAAAGCTTTTACAAGTGGTTAAAATTGATGCTACTTGTAGGACATGTATTTTCAATAGAAATTAAAAAATGGCCTTCGATAAGCTTTAGAATAAAGCTTTATCTATCTTACTATAAAATTTCAAACCTCTGTTCCGAATATTAAACTCATGATATCTAGAACCGATAAGCATGTTTTTACTCTACGGCGCGTGTACTACTGAATCCCCTTAATGTATCGGCATCTTTTGAGTATGTACTGTTGGTACGTGCCGAAGCGGCTGTTATAAAAGATGTAACTGAGTGGACTAATTTCAAAATTCAAAACAAGAAAAAATCGCTAAATTTTTTAAACTCTTGACTAAAGCTGATTATAACGATTAATTTTAATTGCGAATTTATCAATACATTGATTTTATTTTGATACATATTGGTTTCATTTTGGAATCTTAGAACGTATCCCTTATGATTCCATACTAATTACCATTCCATATCCACGGTTTCTGTATTCGCGGCATATTTATGGAATACCCCGCGAATAAAGAGGTTTTACTATGGAGTTTTTCAAAGCTTTTTTTATATATTTGGAATGAGGTGAATTTCACGAGTTCTAATTGCCAAAAGGAGATAAACATGTTTGCTATTATTTTTGTGCGGCATGACAGGCTGATCCTCAGGGAAGTTTTAAGAAATAGAAATTAATAAAAAAAATTACTGGAGAAATAAAATATACCAGAATCTATTGATAAAGCAAAATGTTTACGGACCATTAGAAATTACACATTCCTTTATAGATATTTTTTTTTAATTTGTTTACTGTCGTATAAGTATTCTAATATAAATACTTCGGGCTAGTGACACAACAACTTTCATTAAACTTCAGTTTATGCTATTCAAAAACGAAAAACGACTACAGATAAAGCAAAATGTTTACCGAAAATTAGAAATTACATATTTCTTTGTCGGCATTTCTTCTTTTTATTTCACTTTCACATAAGTATTGTAAATACTTTAGATTAGCGACATAAACACTTCAACTTTCCTTAAATTTTAGTTTATGCTTTTCCAGATTTTACTTTAGTGACTAAATATATCCACCGACGGGCCTATGTCTAGCCTATTTTATATTTTTTTTTTATAACCCGATTATAACGAGCGAGATTTGATGGCTGCGAGATAATAGTCCACAATGTTTTTTTTTTTATGTTTCCGTGTAAGAGGGGAAATTTTCAAAAGACACCCAGCCGTCCGTACGACTGGGTAGTGTTGGATTCCCGAGGAAGTTGTCCTTCGACCTACCGACTAAAACCTCTCTCCCTCAGGTCTGGAGTGATTTCCAGAAGTTTGGTGGGAGGGTAGAGGATCTCTTTTTTTGGTTTTCGTGTTATTCTTTGAGGAGTGTAGGTTATGATTGTTGTTGATGTAGGGTTGTTGTTATCAATAAGCTCGGTCTAGATGATGGTCCCCACTCCCTTCGGGGTGGTAGTGGTTAGTATCGAAAGAGGAGTTCGTGGCGGTCTCACCCCCATAAAATGTTATGTGGGTTAGATGATGGCTTCCCAGGGGGATCGAAAGAGGGTGATCACCTGAGTAGAACCCCATAAGAAATTGGCGGCGGTCTCACCCCAATAAAAAGTTAAAGGGGTTGAAAGTTGATTATTTTGACAATTTTGATACACTATAATTCAAATAAAATTCAATAAAAAAAATAGATTCAAGCCGGTGGAGGTGGGGGATCGAAAGAGGGTGGTCACTTGAACAAAACCCGATATCCTAACCTAACCTAACCTTGATAAACATATTTAAATAATGTTTTATACAACTTTCTCAATATTTTTATGTATTTTTCATTAGTTTTACCTTTGAATATTGTTTAAGAATGACTATATAAATATTTACATGCCTAAAAATGTATAAAAATTGGCATATTTATTAACATTGAACCCCCATAACTTTTTATGGGTGTGAGACCGCCACGAACCTTTTATGGTTCAGTGGTGGGGAGACCTCGTCTTTGCCCCCCCCCCACCCCTTCTAGACCTTTACCATAAGCTCTTTTAGTGAACATGGATTGTAGGTTATTGATTCCTGTAGGAATTGGCGTAATTGAGATGTTGTTGTAATATGTGTTGGACGGAATGAATTGGTATAATTGGTTGTAAGAATCCTGTAGGTTAGATTACCTGACGTTGTGGTAAGTGTAACTTCCCTATAATCAGTTCGATGTTTTCTAGTTTCGTGCATGTATTCAAGGATAATAAATGTCCAGACGGGAGGAGGGGGGGGCACTACAATTCCTACAGCCCCTATAACTCACGCCACTACTCTATTATTAACATTAAGAAACAGCAATTAAAATAATAAATAATTAAAGGTAATGTTTGAAGAGCCCAGTTATAAAGATAAAACAGTATAATAGTTATGCGATTAAAACACATCCACGTGGTGACGGTAGATATTACATCAAGTATAAAGTTGATAAAGGTTCAAAAAAATTTTTTACAAAAAATCCGATAAGGCCATAAATACGGTGTATACCTATCTCAAAATTGGTACGTTATTTGTTAGTTGATTTAATGAACAAAGCATATTACGTAGTTTTTAGTTTATACTATTCTTAAATGTAACAACTAGTGTAATATTTATGATAAATTAAAATTTAAAAATACAGTTCAAAACTAGATAATGTAGCTTGTTACTTAATGATAATAACTAATAACCTAGCAACTGTAAATACACACTGGATGTTTATGGCCTTGTCGCGTTTTTTTTTTTTAACGTGTTTAATACATTTTTTTATATTATCAACGTAATACTTAATTTCAATTGTCATCATGTGGCTGTAATTTTAATTATTTAACCATTACTTGTTTTATCTTTACAAAACAGTGCTGTTCAAATTTTTTCTGAATTATTTATAATTATTTATTTTTTTGTCTGTAGGTACAATTATTGTTTGTTAAATTAATGTTCAGTATTGATGGTACTAATATTGTGACTAAAATATTGATTCACATAATCTTAATAAAATCAACATCACAACTATAGCATGTGCAATTAATAGACGAACGATAACGTTATATCAAATAATCCGATCACTTTTAGTTTATTACATATAAAGAAATGGAATCCATAGTTTCTTTAGCTTTGGGTTCATCTAATTTTCTAAGAATTTTGGATTATATTAATTTATTAGCACACCACAATATCTTGTACTTTTGTTTTACACGGATGGCGTATATCAATTCGATATTGTTTTGAGGGTTGTTTTTTTCCTAATTCGTAGAATTTCATAGTTCCTTGCTAAAGGTACTATAAGTGGTGATTTGGCAGGTGCTGATATCAATTTGGAACTTCATAGACCATGATATTGAATCTGGAAAACAATATCGATTAATTATTTTAGATTATCCATTTCCAAGGAGTTTAAAATTTTTTGGGCTCTCTTCAGTTAAAGAATTAGAAGGCATTCATGGAATGTCTCTTTGTCTCCTTTTTAAGCTTTTGATATCTTCAATGGCCAATGGGAGCAACTTTTATTCATTATTTAATGTTTGATCGGTTTTACTAGCAAAACTTTTAACGTTAAAAATGTATTTCGTATTTTAGAAATAAAAAATACGTTTGGAAAAACATTATAAATCTAAAACAAAATGCTTTTCTGAAAAGAAAGGTAAAAATAGGTAGTTTTCATTTTCTATCTCTGATCACAACTATAGAAATGAGAAATTAGTAAACTTATCTATTTTGATTAAAAATTGAATTTTGAACTTAGCCTTGTTTATTACAACGTCTATTTGTCTAAAGGATAAAAGGCAGACTCTTAAACGAAAACATTAGCTTGAGTTTACTATTTTCTCTATTTGTTTTGTGAGGATGTTTCTTGTTTTTTACCTAGATTGCTCATTATTTATTAATAGCCTGAAGCGTTATTTTAATTAACTAATGCTTACAAACTAACTTCAACGAAGAAGCGACTGTCTAAAGAAGTCGAACAACTGCAGGTTGCTTTTGATCTTTGTGTATTTCAATACGTATATAAACGACTGTTAAAGTTAATAATTAGCGGAAACTATAAAAAAGGTACTTTTAATTAACTTGTCACCATTGTTTGCAAATTAAAATAGGGCACAACGGATTAAAAGATAATTCAACATTGCCTTAAATAAACATCATGGGGTTTTCAAATCCTTTTTTATTGCGTATCTTCATGAGTGGGTGGTATGACTTGATTAAATTTCTAGGACCAAAGAACTCCTTTGCATGTCGCTTGTGAAAAGGGGCATGTCGAGGTGGCAAAATTAGTTTTAGCACATGAGGCGAATTTAGAAGCCAGAGATGCAGAAGGGAACACACCGCTTCATTTAGCCGCTCAGCAACAACAAACTGAAATTGTCCAATTACTTCTGGACCAAGGATCTGATCCGGATGCTGAAAATTCTGTAAGAATATATTTTTATTATACACTGGCTTTTCCCTGCGCCTTCGCTCCCAGAAATTAATATTGTTTCTCCATAAAACCTATTAACTCATAATTCACCCCTACAAATGTCACCATCATAGATTTCAAACACAAACGTAGCAACAACATTGCATCTTTAAGGGTTGATTTTTAAGAATTGTTAAAGTACGTATTTGATTAATTTCAGCCATGAGTATTAAGAGCAACCTTTGAGTAAATTAGACCATACAGAAAATATACCCAATGGAAACGTTGCAACATCTTTTCATTTGTATCAAAAAGCATAAATACCAAGTTTCAAGTAAATTCGAGCAAAAATAAAATATGCCCCAAGCAAAAATTGCAAGCCCGTTTATACCCCCCCCCCCCTTGGAGGTTGAATTTTTTAAAATGCGGAGATAGGTATTTCATAAATTAAATGAGAGAGCATTATGACCAAGTTTCAAGTAAATCTGACCACAAATAATATATGTCCCATTCAAACATTGCAACTCCTTTTTACCAACCCTCCATCAGAGTTTGAATTTTTTAACCAGGTTTCAAGTAAATCTGACCAATAACAAAAATATTTCATGCAATCTTGGCAAACCCCTTTCAGCTTCCTGTAGAGGTTGAATATCTTACAATGCTGAAATAGGTATGTACATCAGTAATTTTATATGAAACAGCATTAAAGCCAAGCTTCAATAAAATCTGACTATAAATGAAATATGTAGCATATAAACGATACAACCCCTTTCCACTCCCTTTCAGAGGTCGAATTTTTTAAAATGCTGAAATAGATGTTTGAAGTTTATCAAGTTTCATGTAAATATCACCTAAAACAAAAATGTCAAAATTTATAACATTTTTCATATAAAAGTACTTTCCAAATTTTCGGATTTTCCTGTGCATTTTCTCAAAATTTTGTTTCACACAGTCTCTGTCCTGTTAGTAGAATGAAGATTCGGGCTGTAGGGCCGTGGCCTAAGTGAACTATTCTCAGTCCCAGTCGCTGTCGAGACTTCGAGATATAATCTACGTTCACGTTGTCAACGCAGCACCACCACTGAGGATGTCAGCCGCAGTAGCTGACGAAACGTCTGGATGGAATAGATCACTTAGACCACGGCCCTATAGCCAGAATCTTAATTTTACTATGGATTCCGGCCGTGAAAGCCTTTGTTCTTATATTTGTCCTGTTAATTATAAACACAACAAAAAATAAATCAGTCAAATCGGTTGAGACGTGCTCGAGTGATGCTCCGTCATACACTTGGCAATTCCCTAGAATTGACAGCTAGGAACAGTTTAATTTGGTTTTTACATATTTTTTTTTTTCTCTTAATAAGAACCTTCCTCGGAAAAAGATTATCGAAATTGGCCTAGGCGTTCTCGAGTTTTGCGCTTAGTAACACATGCAGCATTCCATTTCTATATGTATAGATTATATCTGTGGTATTCGGTGCTCTCTTAATGAAAAAATTGTAAAACATATTAGTACTATCAAAGATAATTACCGCGATGAGAGGGTAAGTGTTGACGTGGTATGTAAAACAATGAAAACTTAGGATTGGATTAGATTACCATTGTATCGTTTTGAATTGATATTTTTTTCATAGATACAGTATTTTTATTGTCATTATGATTTGCGAAATACACTGATACGAAACCAATTGTTATCAAATTTTGTTCACACAGAAGGCGCTCCTTGATCCTTTTAAATTAAATTAGTGAAATCAACGCTTTTATTTTATTAATAAACATGATAAGATATACAAGTAAACAAATAGTATACAACTTATAATAAAATTTGCAGATTAATTTTGTATTTAGGTTTGTTTTCAAATAGTTTTAGGTTTCAGTATGTGAAAAGTTCATTGGTTTAGTAAAAGGGATAAAAATTCGTAACCGAACTAATCAGATTTGACATGTTCTAAAATTTGAGTGTAATTTATTATCCAAAACAAATTTTAAGTCTAATTCAAATGTTCGTAGCGATATGGTGTCGATGTCTGTTTGTAACGTGTCCAGGATTCTTCCTTTGAAATAACATTCACACAGCCATTGTACATTCATGTAAAAGTAGATAGACAGCTTTTTTAAAAACATTGTGTTTTATATATACAAGGTGCATTTACAATTACATTTAGCTACATATAAATTTTACAAACTGAATATTTTAATTCTTCTCGCCTTTCTGCTATTTTCCTCCTCATTAATATTCCTGTGATCCTATTTAGACCATCATTTCCTTCTAATTGAATTTCCCCTTTTTTGCATCATTTTCTGTTAGTTTCTAGTTAGTTTTCGAGTGTCCTTGGTTCCAATTTACACAACCTTCCATATTTTCTTATATCTATTCCTGTGCGAATTCCAAGTTTCTCGTTTTTTGTCTTTTTTTTTGCATATCAATGTCTTTAGTCAAACTTTCCAACTCTGTCCATACACTTTACTCTTTTTTCATTTGGTCTTGGTTTTACATATTCGGTCTTGGCTTTGGTTTTGGTCTCGTTCCTTCAGTCTTAGCTCTAGTCTTGGTCTACTCACTACTCCTGAATGCTTTTAATTTTTTTCTTTTTTCCAACCACCATATTTCTGTACAATAACATGCTATATAATTCCAATGGTTCCAATAAGAACATAGTTTTTTTCCAACTGTCTTTCAGATTTCTTTCTCCTATTCCCTATATCTTTCACATGTTCATCTACTCCATTATTTTTTTGCAAAGTATAAATTTCAAATTACAATTATTAAATCTTAACTTTAGACTCTAGGGACTATTTTTCAGAAAGGGTTTACACCTCAACATATTGCTTGCAGTCTAGGAAGCAAAGGCATCTTAGATTCTTTGCTACAACATGGATCATCAATTAATAAGCCAAACAAGGTATGTACGTATGTAACTACTCGTACAGTTTTAAAACTATTTTGATAAAACTATCAGGCACTTATTGAATTGCGAATTGATTTTACTGCAGTCCATAGTTCGAATTTTCATGCCGATTCGCTACAGGTAACGTGTTTTCTATTACAGGCGGGCAATACAGCTTTACATCTAGCATGTCAATCAAATGAAATCGACACAGTAGAAATTCTTATCAGTAAAGGAGCTGATTTAAATGCACTTAATGCGGTAAGATTGTTTTCGAATTCGTTATCATTTCAACAAGTACACTTGAAAAAAGTAATCACAGTAAACAATTCAAATAAATTAAAATATAATAACGAGGCGCTTACGTCTGAACAGTTTTTTGGTTTTAATCTCCACCTCTTTTGTGTTTTTATGGGAATTACAAAATTATAATTAATCATATTGCTAAGCATGTTTTAATATCAATGTTGAAGTGTATATCATTCGTTTAATTTACTGATTTATACTTAATTTGTACTGAAGAATGCTGTTCATGAAATTTTAAATTCTCAATAGTGATGCTTTTTGTAAACATACTACAAGAGTAAGATTTGTTACCCTGTTTTAAAGCGCGCACCCCTTTAGAAAGGAGATTATTAATTTGTCCTCTGGAATTTTTATCCGATATTCTTTCGAAAAATTCGAAATCTAGAAAGATTCCTTATGAAATTTTGAATTCCCTGCTGTTATAGGGTCAAAACGATGCAATTGTTTCAGCGTTTGCAGTCTCCTATTCATATTGCAGCGGAAATGGGCAGAACGGAAATATGCCGTTTGCTTTTAGCCTCCGGTGCTAATATAGAACAAAGGGAACAAGGCGGTAGAACGCCGCTGTACATAGCAGCAAGGGGTAGTTTCACTGCCATCGTTGACATGATTATTAAAACTGCCCGACTTGATTACCTACCTCATGTGAGTACTGATTATATTTTCTCATCAACACCCTATAGTTACACCCAAGTTACATGCATCTTGAAGGCAATGTATCAATGTTATCCTTTCATTAATCTACAAAAGTCGTTACGTAATTAGGTTTACGACAACCTATTAATATCCCTTTTTAAAGTTATTTGGGAAAATAGATTAAAATTGACCATCCCCCCCCCTTTATATTCGAAATATATATACTTCCCTTTTTTTTTAGTTTTGAAAACTTCCGCGCGCGCCCCTGTTTAACCTTGCGCCCCTAGGCATATGCCTACTTTACCTTATGGATAATCCACCATTGGGTGGCACTAGAACAATTTTTGATTTTGTCACATAATTTAGAGTTATTTACATTTTGTTGTTCTTCTTGTTAACTTGCGTTCTTAAATCAAATTTTCTTCATTGTGCCTGTGGTTGTAATCCGTTATTTCATATCTAATAATAATTCATTTGTAAATAAAATCTGTATATAGTGTTTTATATCGAGTTTCATTTGCTCCATTAAAATCAACATTTTGAGAAAATACTGCCTCTAATTTCACGGCATCCATCCTGGGTCCGAAACTGTTCACATAATCATCATAAGGTCGTCAGTCATAAGACTGATTGGACACGTACCTCCACTTTTTCCTATCTTGACCTAAACTTCGCATTTCCCTAAAACTAGAACAACCCACATCCTTAAATATTTGCGAACAGTAATCTAATCTAGGTCTACCTCTACCCCTCTTAACTCCTGTTTCTGCCTCTAATATGTTTCTGACTAGACCTTCATGCCTGAGAAGATGTCCTATCAACATATCTCGCCTATTTCTTATTGACTTCCATAGAATCCTCTCTTCTCCTATTCTTTCTAATACCTCTTTATTTCTAATCTTCTCTATCCACGGCATCCTCATCGTTTGCCTATAACACCACATTTCGAATGCTTCTAAACATTTCTTTTTCGCAGCGCCCACTGTCCATGTTTCGCACCCGTACAACGCCGCACTCTAAACATACACATTTAACAATCTTTTTCGAATTTCTAAATTAACCGTTCGTGAGCATAGAAATGACTTCTTTTTATTGAAAGCGACTCGACCCTGCGCTATCCTCTGCTTTATATCCCTACTACTCCTTCCGCCCTGACTTATCTGACTTTCCAGATATATCAGCCACTTGTTCTAATTTTTCATCTCCTGTCTTTATATTCGCTCTTTCCCTACTTTTTCTTCCCTTGCATACCAGTATTTTAGTATAGAAAATTTCTAGTCCAAAATAAACTCCGCTACATATAAAAATTATAACCGAGGCTAATATTCTCATCAAAACGAACCATAGTACTGATTCAAAAACCAAAATCGGGAAATAGATGATTATGTTTAATGGTCTTGACCTTGCTTTTGATCACCTTGCTCCATTTGCCTGGATCAATTCCTTTCTAATGTACCTGTATCTTAAATTAGGAGCAGACCAATAAACCGATCAAAAAGGAAAACGAAGGTGGAGGCTTGAAACCTGTACTAAGCGTTAGGAAAAAGTTAAGGAATCCTTCGAGGGACGATGGACGCAAATGGAACAGCGAAAGGTTAAAAGACGTTATTTTTAAACTGGCCTACAAACAATTGCAACCAGGCGATTGGAAAAAATTAGCTTATCATTGGGCTTTTACGGAAGAGCATGTACGAGCCATTGAACATCAATACACAGGTGACAGTTAGTATGAACTTGGAAATTTTAATACGTCTAATAAACATTAGATACCTACCTAAACTAAATTAACACAAAGGCTAAATATTCATTTAATGGTCACAACAAAATCCATAAAATGGACATACAAAACGTGTATTTGTATCTATAGGTAGTATTGCAAGAGACCTCTCCTTCCGCTTCCGTAATTGCCAAAGTTCCGCATACATTTTCACATCCGCTTCTGCATCTAGTTCCGCATTCTTATAGCGGAAGCTTATCGGAACTTAACAAAATATTATTTTTCATCTTTTTGAAAATCAATGTATCGGAAAAATGAAACAAGTAAAAATTTATTACTTTTATCTGTTGGCTAATCTTGGCTATTTCTAAACGAAATATAAATGGAATTAATCTTTGCAAAGCTGCATGTTGTACAGGTACATGCATCAGCATCAGCAACCCCTCTGTAACATTGTGAGCGTATTACTATCAACCGTTTGTGTTTATGAAATATTAGTGTCAATGCAGCGTTATAGCCGGAAAATTTTTGCTAATAATAATATTGTCCCTGTGCAAATAACTTTATTATAGTATAGGCCCTAAATCTTATTATTGTCGTATTTTAATCTAAAAACGTCCAGGACTTTCAGCTTCCTCTTAGCCAATTATCCTAATAACTTCATTTCGAAAATACTCATAGTTATAACGTTTATTTATTTTGTATAGTGTTTGTTCGGTGGTGTAAATTTTAAGCTAAAAGTGCAAATTTGAAGCCAAATAGTAATATTAACGATGCAAATGCTAAATGCAAAATTTGTTACAAAGTATTCGCGAAAAGGGCGCACGACCACTTTATCAAAGAGTCACCTAATATCATTACACTTCCGCATCCGCTACCGTTTCCGCTTCCGCGGTAACTATTTACTTCTGTTTCCGTTATGACACTTCCATTGCATCGCTACCTATAGGTACATTTTATTTTTCAACATTAAGCAAATAGACATTCTTATCTATCTATAAAAATAACAAGTACATCAATTGTTATTCAGTTTAGAGAGTTTTATAGTTTTTATAAATCGATAACTAATAAAAAAAATTACTGACAATGACCGTATTAAAGGTCCATCCAGCTACAAGGAACATGGATTTCGAATGCTTTTAATTTGGACCCACGGTTTGGCCCCCGATGCAAACCCTATCAAAGAACTTTATGATAGTCTAATTGCGATCGATAAAAGATCTGTAGCAGGTAACTTACATACGTGTGTCTGTTTTGAACGTTATTAGAGTAATTTCAATTACATTTTTAATTGTTAATAGCGGTTAATATGAAATATTAATGTGAAAATTCATTTTCAATTTTCCATCCACTACAAACTACCTCAGATTAATGAGGGAAAATTCGTAGCAGAGTGGTCAGAGCATTGGTGTGTAAAGCCAATGTCCCGGGTTCGATTCCCGGCGGGAAAGTTTTCCATCATTAACCTGAAGTAATTTGTAGTGGATGGAAAATTGAAAATGAATTTTCACATTAATATTTAATTTCAACTAGTTGAGTTTTGTAATGTGTTTCTAGACGCTCTGAGAAGGAAACTTGACTTGGAAAATGAAGAACGACAAAGAGGAAAAAAGAAGACTTGTTCTGGTTGCAATGTTACTTGAATGTCAATTTTTTTAATAATAATTATAATAAGCATTTGTTTCTTATGAATATTACATATCTTGTGAATAAATGATGATTTTAACTGTCCTCTTTTTTTAAAAAAATAACGCTCTTCTCATTATTATAAATTATTTTTTAGCGACACATTTTTTTTAATTTGATATTTCTTTAAATTACCTGGAAGATAAAAATATCGCGCTCCTTAGTATTGTAGTTGATTTATTTACTTAGCAATTTCAATATTGTTCGTGGAAAACTGTCAATTTTCCAAGTACCTCTTCAAAACTTCTCACAATAGCCTCCAGAAAGCGCAACAAGTCTATTAATTATCTCCCTCAACCGAAAGCAAATCGCTCAACTTCGGAAAATTGTAAATATACGTCGTGATACAGCGTGCTCGTATTAATTAAATTTTATCTTGTAATTATTATGTTACGTTATCGTTAAAATGCCGGTGTTTCGTCTGGATGACTAAAGGTCCTATTTGTGAGTTTGGGAATGAAATAATTGACGGGGTTGTTTAAAGGACATTATCGTCACACATCATGTTGTGTTCAAGAAGGTATATTTTAATGGAAAATTGGAAAAACATACTTCTAATGATAGGTTTCCTTTAATTGTTACGTAGACTAAATTACAGTATAAACTCTTTATAACGTCACTCGATTTAACGACAAACTCCTTAAATCGTCGAAATTGCTTGACTTTGGTTGGTTTACATTGTTTTCTATACAATATTACACTCTATATAGCGTCACGCTTACTCTATTTAACGACAACAATGCGGCATTATAAANTTTTGTTCGCTGAAAGGTCAGTTTATGCATTAGAGGAAGGGCAAGTTTTCGAGTTTTTATAACTTCTACAATTATCGACACTATTTTCTTTAAATGTCATGACTTTGCTGGCATGTATAACAAAAAATTTGTGCATTTAAGACAATTATTGTGTCAGTACGGATTAAATGAGGAAGACCAAGACTTAACACGTAAGACCAAGACCAAGACCAAGACCAAAGCTAGTAGTATTTGAGTAAGGCTAACATCGAACAATCAAGAGCAAGACCAATACCAAGACTGGAACAATGTTGGTCTTCATCTTGCTTTGCTTATCACTACTTCGCGGTTTTTGATTCAGTCCATGAATTTTTCAGCTATTAAAAATAATAAATTGTTTGGAATTCTTAATTTTTGGGTTAAGAGAAATCGTAGCAGTACCATGTTAGCGATTTGTAGATATGCATATTGTTCAATATATTTTGTTGATTAACATAGGACCTAAAAAAATGTAGCCTTCATTGTTTTTTGATGGAGTCGAAGACCTGAGATTTTATTAGACTGGACAACTGAAATGAAAACACCATTTAATCAAATCAAGCTTTCAACTCAGACACTTCAAAAAATAATTTAAAATTATTGAATTTGTTATTTTATGACCTATTTTAATTGGTTTATATATGCAGGTACACAGAGTATTTTGAAGCTGAGAGGTGCAAAGTACGCACTGTTTATCAATTCAAATGAAGAAAGTTCTTATGAAGGTTGATTGGAGCGTTAGGCGGCCATTCTTGGGGAGAAATCCTAAACAGATATAATCACTAGAGAACAAAGGTAAGAATTTTTCCTAATTGTTCATTTTATCCAGTTAGTGTTCACCGAATTTTATGTTAAATTTGTAACATATGAAGTATTTAGTATAATTATTATTTGTAAATGGCCCTTTGGTTGAAACATAATCATCAAAAGGTCGTCGGTTCCTAGATTAGTTGGACAAGCACCTCAATTCTTTCCTATCTTGAGCTAATCTTTATATTTCCCTAAAACTAGAACATCCCAAACCCTCAACTATTTGCAAAAGTAATCTTAATCTAAGTCTACCTCTACCCCCTTAATTCCTGTTTCTGCTTCTAATATGTCTCTGACTAGACCTTCATGGCTGAAATGTCCTCTGTTCTCATATTCTTCCTGATGCCTCTTCATTTCTAACCTTCTCTATCCTTGGTATCCTTATCGTCCACCCCATTTGGAACGCTTCTAACCCTTTCCTTGACTCGAAACATAATGTTACAGATTTAACATTAAATTCAGTGAAACCGCACAAGCGATTGATTATTCTCCTTTAATACTGTATTAATAAAAAGTTTTCCAGTGAGTGCACCATTGAACGTTTAAATAATTTTACCATTGTTTGTGACAATTATTTGATTCTACGTATACATCTTTCAAATAAAATGTTACCAGAGCTGATTTTCTCATATAATATGTTTTATTCAAACTTCTAAGGTTATTTAAATTTACAATCTATATTGTTTCCCCATTCCCTATCCTTCACGTTATACCTATAATACATCCTCAAAGAAAACATAACAAAAACACTGCAGTGTTTATTATGCTACCTCATACTAAATCTGTTACACGTCTTAATCCCTTTTCCACATATATTACATTATTTTTTCCTTCATCCAGTACATCCCTTTATTACATTCCACCCCCATTCTAAATCTCTTTATTACCGCCATATCTTTTCTGCCCTTCCCTCAAATATTTCGTTAATATATTTTCTTACTACACCTCCCACATAAATTGTTTCAACCCCTTCGCGTATTTCGACTTCTGTACTCCCCTCTAATTATCTAGTAAGTCCTTTTCATTTAGATTATTCCCTACATCCACTCTTTTGTTTCTTTATTCCTATTGATATTATTATTCAAATGAAAAGTGGTTGCAACGTTTCCAAGGGGTATATTTTATCTGTATTCGGATGTACTCGTTGCTCATTTTTGAAATTAAGCAAATATGTGTTTTGGCACTTTTTAAAAATCAACCCTTAAGGATGAAATGTTGTTGCTACCTTTGTATTTGAAATAAAATTAAAACGTTGTAAGGGTGAATTGGGAGTTAAAAGGTTTTTATGGAGAAGCAATACTAATTTCTGCGAGCGAAGCCACCGGGAAAAGCTAGTTATAAATAACTGCGAATTTTATATCTGCATAAATTTATTATTTTTATTTTCCACAATCATTTAACTATATTAACATTCATCGTACCATCACGTAATAATTACAACGGAATTCGGGCGTTTCCGCATTCGTATCGTCGCCGTCAACACATCCGTATCTGTACTTCTCAGTTCCTAAGTAGGCCGTGAACGTGCTTGTCGAAGGATAATCGGCTTATTCTCGAGATTGTTTGTGCGTTTTTTCGAAATTAATTAGAAATATATTGTTTGGTTAAAACCGAAACAAGTGTATCGTTACCTACAACAATTATTCTGTTCCAGTTGATTTATTCGGTACGTAGCAGAAAGGATAATTTTTTATTTTTATTTTACGGTTACATAAACGTACATACACAAGCCCTTTCTTATCTCATTTAACCCACTGCAAAATATTTGTATTCAGGATCAAAAATACATTTAATACCTAGGTACGACTAAGTGTCTCCAACATTAAAAGAAATACCTACATTACACGGAGAAAATTAAATTTTTATTACAACGAAAAATTACAATTTTCGATTGTAAATGACTGAATTTGCTGTAGAAACAGTAGAATTTATTAGGTAACTTGTAATAATCTCAATTTTGACATATTTAATTAAAAATTATTTCAAGTTTCTTAAATATTATATTTAAATTTGTAACATCAACTAAACTATCTAGT